GGTGCCGCAGAGGGGCGGTGGTGGCCGAGCACTGGGCCCACCCCCTGTGCTCCCGCAGCACGTGCTCAGGGTGCTCACACACACTGTTTAACACACACTGTTTAAACCTTCTCCCTGGAATGACCCTGGTTTCCTGTGAATCCAAACGGGCTCGGGTGAAATTACACGAGCTATCCGCTGAATACACAGTCGATGGCAGAAAAGCTATTCCACCACCACCATCTTTTCCTCCCAAGCGCTATGACTTTTCATTCCACTAATCCAGATTTTAAAAATTTTTCGTAGAATCTCAATGACAAGCTTTTAGTTAAAAAATAGAAGTCTATTCCTTTATTTTAATATTTCCAAGGAACCAAGCTCATCCCAAGCAGCCTGGACAGTGGCTGTTGAGAGGGACTTGAAAGGGAGGCCTTGAGTCCCCGTCACCCAGCATCCAGCACTACACTCTTCACAGGGTTAGGTCTGGAGCTCTTCGTGCTGCTCTTGGCCAGTCTGACTGTGATTTTGGTCCAGAAGCCGCCCAGAGATAGCAAGGGTTGAGCCATCCTTAACTCATACCCAGGTGAAACAACTTCCGCAGAAAGGCTGGTCCTCCCCAGTGACCCCTGAAAGAAACGACATGGAAACGATATTTGCGTCAGAAAAGATGGGAGTGACCTCGGTCAGCAGGATGTTGAAAGGAAAGTCACATGGCTCACAGACATGCTCATCAGCACATAAAGCGAGATTTGTCTTGTGAGGTAGAAAGATCCTGTGACTAGGAGGCGACATGCTTCGAGTTCTGGTTTCGATATTGACTTGCTGTGTGAGCCTGGACACGCTCACTCAGTTCAGCAAACTTGCATGCAATCTCTACTACAGGCAAACTGCGATCCTCTCTGCTTTCATTTGCTTATAAATAAAGCATAGGTCCAGGTTTCTCAACCTTAGCCCTACTGACACTATGAAATAGCTATTTCTTCGTTGTGGAGACTGTCCTGTGCATTGTAGGGCATTTAGCAGCATCCCTGGCCTCTGCTCACGAGAAGCCAGTAGCATCCCCTCCAGCTGTGACAACCAAATATGTCTCCAGATATTGCCAAATGCCCCCTGAGGGGCAAAATCACCCTGGTTGAAAACCACTAGTATAAAAAGAAAAAAGAAAACCACTAGTATAGATACCCTGACTCACCTATCTCATAGTGGTTTGTACACGTCAAATGAGATTTTCATTGTTTGGAACTAAGAAGAATTATTAAATGTTCTTACTCTATTTATTCACTACTATGCCTACTATGTAGCTGTCTTTTAATGTGTTACCTCATTAATCCCCATCCTCTGAGGTTACTTTCATTTGCAGATAAAAAAGTTAAACACAGACCAGCAACGGGTGGGGGGTGGTTGGGGGGGATAAGAGATCAACCAAAGGACTTGTATGCATGCATATAAGCACAACCCATGGACACAGACAGTAGGGTGGTGAGGGCACATGCTGGGGGGTGGGAACAGCTGGGGAGAGGTCAATGGGGGGGAAAGGACACATATATAATACTTTAAACAATAAAGAATTTTTTTAAAAAAGTTAAATACAGAGAGTTTAAACAACTTGCCCTAAGACACACAGCTCGTAAGTGACCAACACAAAAACTACTTAACATGTAAAAACGATTTACCAGGATTTATTATTATCATGAATCCAGCAGTGAGAAAAAGCCAGAACATGAAAGAGAGAAGACTTGGTTGCTGCCAGTAATGAAGAGAAGAGGCTGTGAGCCCTGTGGCGGTGGATGCACTGCTCCCTTTCCTCACCCTGGGCAGCCTCTCTCCCACCAAGTGCGGCTGAGGATCCAGCACCCTTCGCAGGCTGCCGTCACCAGACCATAAGAAACGGCACAGTCAGGGGGATCCCACTGGCTGGTCCTGGGCTCCGGGTCATGATCTCTCCTGAAGCTGGAAGGCCTCCTTAAAACCATCACCCGGCACAAGTGGGTGCGCTAGACTAAAAGACGTGCCTCTCTCCCAGCAATGCACTTACTTTAGCATCATATTCCAGTACAGGAAGGGCATCATGTCGGCTTTCATGAGGTACATGGACAGTCTCTGTTTGCTCTGGTCAAAGGGGAAGGTCTCCAATGGCTGTAAGTTGTAGTCAAACTCCGCAAGAATCACGCGGTTGTAGCTTGTCACCAGTGGACACGACGTGTAGCCATCATACTAAAATTGTACATGAAACGGAGTTGGAAAGTGGCTTTTTTATGATGTTATATAGATACTTCAGAACTTATTCTTTACTCTGAGCAGTTGCAAATTTTTTTCTTTTTCTTTTTTTGTACCGTGAAAAATGGAGACTATATAACAAAAAGTAGTACTAAAGGCAACAACTGCTATGGCTATATTAGAGAAACTAATTAAGAAAGTGGCAACATTGTAGGAAAACACTGTTTTCACACAGAATGGAAGATGATAATTGAGACTCTGACTCTTACAAACCTTCTTCGTTGGTGCTTCATTCTTCATGATCAGAGAAATTGTTCTGTCAAGGATTCCTGACTGGGCAGCTGTAAGAGAAATGGAAAAGTCAGAAAAATATAAGCGTCTAGGTTTTTCACAAAACCTAATTTGCAGATAACTTTAACGTGAACCAGTTCAGAAGGCTCCATTCCCCATCCTTCTAAATTTTAACTAGAACACGATTCTTAGTATTTGAAGTTCTGGATACCAGAAGGGGCTCTTCAGTCCATCACAGGCCCACATAAGTGCCTCCACTCGTTTGACACTGACGAGCCAGCTCTCTCTAACAGGAGGACTGGCAATTTCAAACAAAAGGACTATAAGGGAGACAACACCCCAACCCCACCCGCCTCCTCCTAGGGTCCAGTGGGTGTCGCTTGATCTGTGTGCCCCGTGTCCCCTAGTTATCTGGGAGGTCCCTGTGTCCCAACCTAGATTAATAGCCTAAGTGTATCAATTAGGCAAAACAGTGAGCTTTCCTCTCTACTGGACTGCCCTGAGGTTGGACCAGATTAGATAGAAGATGATAGATAGATAGATAGATAGATAGATAGATAGATAGATAGATAGATAATAGATAGATAGACGTTTTTGCTTTTTGGTGGCAAGAATGGGAGACTGCCTTTTTTATTAGGAAAATTTTCCAACTCTGTCCTTCTTGTTTCATCTATCCCATCACACGTGCCACTTTTCTTCCTGGAGCATTTTTAGAGCAAACATCATAGCAACTCACCCATAAATATTTCTGTGTATATCTTTGATAGATGAGGAGGTATTTTTTTTTAACACAAACACAATAATATGCTTACACCCAAATTTCTAGCAATAATTCCTTAATATTATCTAATCCCAGAATAGTGTTCAGTTTTATTTTTTTTTAAATATATTTTATTGATTTTTTACAGAGAGGAAGGGAGAGAGATAGAGAGTTAGAAACATCGATGAGAGAGAAACATCGATCAGCTGCCTCCTGCACATCTCCCACTGGGGATGTGCCCGCAACCCAGGTACATGCCCTTGACCGGAATCGAACCTGGGACCTTTCAGTCCGCAGGCCGATGCTCTATCCACTGAGCCAAACCGGTTTTGGCAATAGTGTTCAGTTTTAAATTGGTGTTTGCCAGATGGGAGGGAGGTTGGGGGTGGGGCAAAAAAAGGGATTAAGGAGCACAAAATGGCCCTAGCTGGTTTGGCTCAGTGGATCCCAGGTTTGATTCTGGTCAAGGGCATGTACCTTAGTCGCAGGCTACTCACCAGCCTGGGCCCTGGTCGGGGCTTGTGCAGGAGGCAACCAATCGATGTGTTTCTTTCATATCGATGTTTCTCTCTGTCTCTCCCTCTCTCTTCCACTCTCCCTAAAAATCAATGGAAAAATATCATCAGTTGAAGATTAACAAAACAAAATATGCCAGTTATAAAAATAGTCACAGGAATGGACACCATAGGGAATATAGTCAATAATATTGTAATGACTATATAAGGTGTCAGATGGGGTGATCACTTCATAAGGTATATAAATGTATAATCACTATGTTTTACACCTGGAACTAACATAATATTGTATCTCAACTGTAATTGAAAAATATATTTTTAAAAATACTGCCCTTTTAAAAATACAAGCAGTTTGTGTCTTTAGAGATGGGAGACTGGATTGACTTTTGAGGAAAGATGGGTTACCTATCTATTGTAAAATGCTCATTAAAGTGATTATTCTGCAATTCCCAAAATCAGGGGTCAGCAAATTTTTCTGTAAAGCAAAATTTTAGACCTTGTGGGCCAAGAGGCAAAACCAAAGCTATATATAACAAGAGAAAACAAAAATTTTTATTAACAAAATTCAAAATGTAAAAGAAGTATAATAATAACTTTTTGTACTACTAATATAAGTCTACTAATGAGAAGAATGGAATTCTTCTTTTCTTAAGAATAACAAAGAGTCAGTGTTCCCTATCATCAAGTTGATTATAAATGTTCATCTGTAGAAAATATCTTAGCCAACTGTATGAAAACAAGCAGCAAGATGCATTTGGCCAGCAGGCTGTAGTTTGCTGATGCCCAAAAGAGCAATGAATATTTTACTGGAATGAGAGGATCCAAAATATAAGAAATAAGTAACTCTGCTTTAAAAATACTATCTATAATAATAAAATCATAATATGCTAATTAGACCGGACAGCAAAACGACCTCACAGACGAAGCCGGGACTGTGAGCACCAAGGCCAGCCGCTGCAGCTACGAGGGCCAAGCCTCTTGCAAGAATTTCATGCATCGAGCCTCTAGTTCAGTGGTTCTCAACCTTTTTAATGCTACAACCCTTTAATACAGTTCCTCATGTTGTGGTGACCCCCAACCATAAAATTATTTTGGTTGCTACTTCATAACTGCAATTTTGCTACTGTTATGAATCGTAATGTAAATATCTGATATACAGGATGTATTTTCATTGTTTGTGACCCACAGGTTGAGAACCGCTGCTCTAGTTATATATATATAAATACTATTATATACACATATATACATATATATTTATATATAGATAGATACTTAGTGTATATATATATATATACGTATATATATGTATATACATATATATGTATATACATATATACACATATAGGTACATA